AACATTTAATAAGCATCTACTTCTGTGTCTGGGTTGGAATGGCTAATGGGAAACAGGTTCTCCTGCTTAGAACAAGTAGAAAAACTGCATAATTTACAGGACAATTTGTTCGAAGGCAGTGAGAAGTTGCTGTGGCAATGAGGATTAGAGGTAATTCAGTTTCTAGAAAGGGAGAAATCCAGACAGAAGAGGGAATTATTACAGCTCCTTTTACTTTGAGGGTATGTGTTGATTCTGGGTTGGCCAGGATGGTGGTAGTGCTAGTGGGGCTCAGGAATCTAGGATTTCTGACTCATGAGGCACTTGTAAGGAACAGAGAAACCAGTAAATCTTTAGGTGGAGACCTAGTGGTAGGGAGGAATGGGACTCAAGCTAAATTTCCACTCAGTACATTTTCATAGGGTTGTATATGTCAGGAGGCAAAAACATTTAAGGAGAAAACCTCTAAAAAACAGTGTTTTAGCAGTTTTGGAAGGCAGTGATTAGATTCAAGGTAGGGGATATACACAGTACACTAGGCTTTCAGTTGAGAACTCTGAAAGGCCATAACATACCATGACTAAAATGAGACCATGAGTACAGCCTAGCCTTGACTCAGCACAGTTCCTGAGTAGAGTAGGATGATAAGCTGCCACTTTATCTGCCTGGGGAAGGGAAGGGTGAGCCCTTTCTAGAGGAAGCCTGTACCAACTGGAGACTCTACAATTTTGTTTGATTATTTATTTGTTTACTTACTTATAGTATTGGGGATCGAACTCAGAGGCACTCTATCACTGAGATATAAACCTAGTTTTTTCTTTCTCTCTCTCTCTCTCTCTTTTTTTTTTTTCAATTCTGAGACGGGGTTTCAATAAGTTGCTCAGGCTGGTCTTGAACTTTTGATCTTCCTGTCTCAGCTTTCTGAGTAGCTAGAATTATAGGCATGTGCCACTACAATTTATTTATTGACAGTTCATCTTTCACTAAAATATTGTCAAATATGCTGAAAATCAGTAAAATATATCTAAAAACCGAAAGAAAAAAGAGACAATAAGAACAAATCCACTTGACTCCGGTACTGGGGTTAGATGAGAACTTCAAATTGCCTATGATTAGTATGTTAAAGAAAATAGATAAAAATATGAAGAATTTCTCTAGAGAATTAGACTCTGCCCCCCAATCCCCATTAAAAGTCTAATTAATTGCTGGGAGTGGTGGCACACACCTGTAATCCCAATGGCTCTGGGGGCTGAGGAAGGAGGATTACAAAAGCCAGCCTCAGCAATTTAGCAAGGCCCCAAGCAACTCAATGAGACCCTGTCTTAAAATTAAAAATAAAAAAAGGGATGGGGATGTGGCTCAATGGTTAAGTGCCTCTGGGTTTAATCCCTGGTACTCAAAAAAAAAAAAAAAAAAAAAAAAGGAGGGGCTGGGATTTTGGCTTGGCGGTAGAGCGCTCGCCTAGCACGGGCAGGACCCAGGTTCGATCCTTACCACCACATAAAAATAAAGGCATTATGTTGTGTCCATCTACACCTAAAAAAATAAATATTTTTTTAAAAAAGGAACTGTGGACATGTGGACATAGCTCAGGGGCAAAGTGCCCCTGTGTTCAATTCCTAGTAGTGAAAACAAACAAACAAAAAACATGCCAATTAATATGGTACCAATGTACCAGGCAAATTAGAAGAGGGAGAGATTGGGTAGGGAAGCCAGTTAGGAATTTACTGAAGAAGTCTTGCTGAGAACAGCCTGGGAACAGACAAGAAAGGGCAGTTCCACCTCAGTGTTACAATGTGACTTAGTGGTGAAATGGGTGTAAAGGGCGAGATGGCTGAAAGTGACTGAGGTTTCAAGCCTGGGTGACTAGACAATGGTGGTGCTGCTATTAACAGAAAGACAGAAGTTAGAATGAGAAGTTAGGTGGAAGGGAAACTCATAGTGAGAAAGAGAAGGCAAGAGAGGAGCTGACTTAACATCAAATCTTAAAAGAACATATGAAAAAGTGTAATAAAGAATACAAGAGGAAGGATAAAACTAAGGAAGTGTGGTAAACCTGTGACAACAGGGTGCGGGAGGCTAAAACTCGAAAGTCTGTCACAATGTGAATTGTGGTTGAATGAATAAGCTGAAACTTGTGAAAAATTCTTCTCTCTGTAACATACTGCTGTGCAGGAATTTTGCTGCTTGGAGATGTTATGTAGAAAGCAATAAGGAAGAGCCATTTCAATACTGTTTTTCTTTTCTACACTAGGAGAGTGGTCTTTAATTCAGTGATGGAATGAACAGAGCTGAGAGAACAATGGCACAAAATGAGTGAAGAGTGGTTATGAGTGCCTAGCCACTTTAAAAGTGACTTCAAGCCCAGTGAAATACAGAACCATGGGGGTTAAGTGAAGGGAGGATTAGCCTCAGTGTTGTAGTTTGTACTTATCTGTGTATACACAGGGAAGTTTAAAGCGTGGGCTTTGTAGTCAAATAGAACTAGGTTCAAATTCTGACTTGGCCACTTTGGTAGCTGTGTGATGATTGGTAAATCTCTTGGTCTCTTTACAGCTTTCTCCATCTGTAAAAATAAGGACAGCAGTCTCTACCACACATAGTATGGTACTGTGAGGATTAAATGAGGTAAAGCATACAGAACACTTGGTTAAGTGCCTATATTTATTAAGTACTCCAAAAAAATGGGTATCTATTAGTCATGGGTCAATCATATACTTGTGTGTTTGCATGACAGAGGATTGATAAAGATAAGGTCATTTCATCCCTAGGACAGTGCCTGGCACATAGTGGTCAGTAAATATTGTTAAACAAAACAAACAAACAAATAAACACAGATGTTTAATTAACCATGAGGTTAATTGCAGGGAGACTTTGATCTTGTGTATGTAAGCCAGGATGGAAGTGAATACTTTTTCCCATCCTTACTTTTAATGACTACATAATATTTCATTGCTTGGCCAATTATAGATCCTATAATATTTCTCCTATTTATATTTAATCACTTATCTATTTAGGACATTTAGGTTGTTACCATTTTTTTTTACCATGATAAATAACATGGAGATGAACATCCTGTACACACATCTTTGCCCCTTCTTCTGATTATTTTCTTGGGATACCTTACTAGTAAAAGTGCTGAAGGGTATAATTTTCTATAAAATTTATATTCACTGTAGCAGTGTGTTAAAATGCCAATGTATGCTTAAAATATTATATACTATAAAAATGTATTGAGGAAGCTGGGGGTATAGCTCAGTGGTAGAACACTTGTTAGCATGTGTGAGGCTCTGGGTTTGATCACCAGGACCAAACACACACACACACACTGTAATGAAGACACGTGAGAAATTCTCCTAAGTGATATATCTTCTCCAGGATTCTGAGGAATTGGGTGGAGTAAATAGTAAACTGAGGGCTGGGGATATAGCTCTGTTGGTAGAGTGCTTGCCTCACATGTACAAGGCCATGGGCTCAATCCCTAGCACCAAACAAACAAACAAACAAAAAAACCAAAAAGTAAACTGAGCTGTTGGGCACTGACAATCAGAACTGGTCTGCTGTCTCTGCTCTGCAAAGACAGGAGGTGGGTGTTCTTCAGATAGGAAACAGGAACTCAGTGGGTGGACCCTAAAAGGGAGTGTGGGCTTTGAAACAGGAAAAGAAGTTGGCTTCTGATAGAGAGACACAAGGCCGTGCTGTCCTGATCAACTACTTTCTACTAGGTCAAATCCTCATTCTTTATCTGTCTTTGGATTCTATTTGCAGTTATCTTATCTTGATATCTAAGTATTCCATTGTGTGTGTGTGTATGTGTGTGTGTTCTTTTATTTCCATTTCAGGGAGTGACAAACCTCTAATTGTTCAAGTCAGAAACCAAGGAGTTATTTATTACTTACTCTTCCTCACTCCCAACATCCAATCCTACACTAAGTTCTGATATTTCTATTTCTCTATTTGTTTACTTTTCTCATCTTGACTTCCAATATTCTAATCCAAGCCACAATGTTCTCTACCTTATTTTCTTGTTTCCATTCTTGCTTCTGCTAGTTTTTAGTTCTAATTTCTGTCCAAGTAATATTTTAAAGTTTTAGAGAGATGATATAATTTCTCATGATTTCTTTCTCTGCTTAAACTCCAAAGTCTTTAATTTAGTCTAAAGTTTTGCATGATTTGACCCCTGCTTGCTTCTTCAACTCCACCTATTGCCTCTCTCCCTCCTTTATGTTTTAGTCACAATGGCTCCCCCTCACCCTCCAGCCCCAGCTCTTCATAGTGCTGGGGATGAAACCCAGGACTTTGCACTGAGTAACTCTGCCACTGAGTTACTTCCACAGTTTCTTTCTTTTTTGGTTGCATAATGGGTTTTCCATTCTTAATCCTTCCCTTAGCACTTTCCAGTCTTCAAGTAGCCACACATTCCTTTCCCTGCCTTGAGTGTTCTTCCTACCACATTTCACCTGGCTAATTTCCATTCATCTTGAAGATCTCAGTTTAAATGTTACTGCCACAGATAGGCTCTCTTATAGCAGCTTATTCTTTTCCTTTATAAACTTCTCACAATTAAAAAATTATTTATCTCTTCTATTAGAGAATAAGTTTCTTGAGGGAAAATAAAATGTCTATTATGTCTTCATTAAATATATATCTATGGCTTAGCACAGAGTCTGGTACAGACCAAGGGATGTTCATTTAAATGAACTATAATGTCTAGCAGCACAGTGTTAGGAGGGAAGTAGGTTTTAAAATATATTATTGTGGAAAATTCTCTGCCATTTAAATGTTAAGCTTGTAAAATAAGGGATTTTGAAGTTTAGTATTATATAACTAAATTCAGGAATTATTCTCTATAGCATACAGTCAACAAAGGTAAATAATATTTATTCCAAGTATCAAAGTATTTCCAGCTTCCCTCCCTGTCTTCTTGAGGGTTGAAGCAGGTCTAGATTAGGAAAGAAATTGTGACTATTTTTCAGAGGCTGGTACTTGACCTCTTTCTCACCTGTGGACAGAATACTCACCAGAAGGCTGTGACACAAAGCATGAAAATGCTGCTGATTTGTCTCCAGCTCATCCCAGTCCAGCTGCCAACAGCTTGTGGGTCTGAGGATGAAGGGGAGTCCATATGTCAATGACTCGCAGAGTCCGCTAGATTTTAGAGCCCTGGGAAGAGATGATGGCAGAGAGAGACTATTCAGTGATATCTAGAACTTCTACCCAGATACACTTAAATTCAGCATAAGTCTAAGACCCCGCTGTGAAAGCTTTTAGATTAGGATCCATGAATTATTCAGTTTTATATGGCCAGTACCTAGCGTGACATCTTGCACACAGAAGATTCTCAAAGCTCAGGAATCTGTGCATGGGATCTGTGGAACTAGGAAATAGTAAAAGTGGCCTTTGCCATCATTGTTCATTCTACCTTAGAATTTCTAATACTTAGAGAAATGGGAGGGGCAGGGATAGATTCTGCGTGCCATTTGCTCCTTGAAAATTGAATTTCTATTCTGATGTCTAAATATAGTAGGCATTCAATGAACATTCACTGACAATTAAACACCTTTCTAGTGATCATGCTTTTCCTGTGTTCAGAGACTTTCTGGATTTCCAGTTCTCATAAAGACCTCAAAGTGTTCTGCAGCAGCGCTTCTTTCACCACCTCCTCTTTTCCCATCGTGTGTTGAGTAGCCTGACCTTGGTTTCTCATGCCAAACTTGTATCAGCTACCTTGGAACTGGCTTTTGCCTGTCTGACACTTGAAAATGTAGTTTAAATCTCTGGACTTCTTAGGTATGGAACCAGTAATAATAGCATTTTCATAGATTGGGGAGATTCCTTGGACCATACTTGATTACTTGGAGTTTGTAACAAGAGGCTGAGGACTGGGAAGCCATCTGGTAGAGCGTGCTGAGGTCTCCTTTGGGGTCATCCATTCTGGAGGCACCGTCAGCTGTACCAGGGAGCAGGGATGGGCTGAGAAGTCGCTCTTGGAGATCACATTTCAGGCACACTATAGTAAAATTGGCATTGGAGGAGAGACTGTGGGTCACAAGTTACTTTGGGCTATGTCATTAAGAGAACATCTTCCACCCATTTCACTTCTACCAGGCAAAGGAGGGATGGGAGGAGGCAGGAGAATGGGAAGAGGAAATCACAATTGGTTTGGGAAGGTAAACCAGGTGCAAAATAGAAACAGTATTTCTATTGCTTTACATGATAGTTAACACATTTTCTGAATCTGACATGATTTTTACTTGTTTTACTTCTAGGTGGGCTGAGCAACTGTCTCACAGCAAGAGATCTGGCTTGTAATCCAGTCTGAGAGAAATTTGTGTCCTCTGTGGAGCAGGCAGCTGATGCCAAAACATGCAGGGGCCTTTTGGTAATCACAGAAGGAAATTTTGTCTTTGCTGCTTCCCTGTGGCTAAGATTTGGCAAGATTGCAGGCCAGAAGAAGGAAGAGCAGGAAAGCAGAAGTCAGGCAGTCAGATGACTGCTACTATTTCTCTGTGGGCTCTTCTAGGGACATTCAGGGGTATGGAAGGAATAAGTTTCTGAAGTAGCTTATTTTTAATTTTTCAAAGAAACCTAATTATCGGATTTTGGGCCCTGGAGCATCACTCCAACCAGCATCAGACAAGAGTTCTGAGGAGGGATGAGACTGGGTATGATCTATTTATCTAGGTATTACACTCTTTGTCTGTATTTAGCTTCTGCTCCAGGAGTTATAGCCTCATGTTATAAGGTTCAGTATTCCATTGCATTAGGCTTGAATCCTTGATATTAAAAAGTTTTCAATAGAACATACCTGAGTTGAATATTGACAACTACAAATCTACAAATGTTGAGTACTTGTGAGAAGGCTGGTAGTTGACAGGAATGAACTGTGAAATGACTAGTGAGGTAAAAACAAAAGTAGAAATAATATGGAAAAAACCAGTGGCAATATAAATGTCAGGTTCAGCTGGTAATCAACTTATACATGGAATCCCTTTATCTCTCATGCCTTTGGACTGAAACCTAACAGCTTGTGTTCACTGGATCCTGAACCCAGTGAATAAGACATAGATATTAATTCTGGGTGAGCTATCTCTTGGCCGGGTATCTCCTAGAGCACAGAAAGTCAGTTGGAGGGACTTTTCCTAGGATTTCAGCTCCCCTCATTTCCTCTGTGCTTGACTTCTCCACTTCTAGTCCCTCGTATTTAGTACTGGGCAGCTGTGTTCATCTAGCTAAAGTTTTTAATGATGGTTGCAATGAAAATCACCTAGAGAAATCTGCCCTGCCCTGTCCCGTACTGGGGATTGAATCCAGGGGTACTTTACCACTGAACTACATTTCCACCCACTTTTTTAAAAAAACATTTTTTAAGTTGTAGATGGATATATAATATCTTTATTTATTTTTATGTGGTGCTGAGGATTGAACCCAGTGCCTCACGCATGTGAGGGAAGCACTTTACCACTGAGCTACAGCCGCAGTCCCTTTTTCCACCTACTTTTAAAAAATATTTTTTCTTGAGACAGGGTCTTACTATGTTGCTGAGGCTGCCCTTAAACTTGTGATCCTCCTGCCTCAGCCTCCTGAGTAGCTGGGATTACAGATGTGCACCACTGTGCCTAACTTAAAGAGAACTTCTGAAAAATACTGATGTCTGGGTCTAAACCAGATCAATTAAATCATGATCTCTGGGGATGAAGCCCAGATATATGTATTTTTATAAAGTTTTGTAGTGGTTCTCATTTATTTATTTATTTGTTTTTTAGTTGTAGTTGGACACAATATCTTTATTTATTTATTTTATGTAGTGCTGAGGATAGAACCCAGGGCCTCGTACATGCTAGGTGAGCACTCTACCGCTGAGCCACAATCCCAGCCCAGTGGTTCTTTTTTTTGGAGGGGTACTAGGGATTGAAACCAAGGTACTTAACTACCAAGCCACATCCCTAGTGCTTTTTTATATTTTATTTTGAGATAGAGTCTCACTAAGTTGCCTCATGAGCCACTGGGATTATAGGCATGCACCACCATGCCCTGCCCTCATGTGGTTCTTATTGCAGCTAGGGCTGAGGACTACACAGACTGGAAAAACTGTTTAGCAGGGCTTAGATCTAGATGCAGGCATGCTTCTCACCACCCAGAGCTGAGGTGCAGAGGTGGCAAAGTCCATACTGGAGAACAGGAAAAGATATTAATCTGTGACTGCCTGCATGCTCTGTTTGCCAGAGCAAGATCTCTAAGTGAAGCTCCTAGAGATGAGTTGAGCATTCCTCCTAAGAGCCTACTATAGTAGGAGAGTTCACAGTTTTTGTTTTGTTTGCTTCATTCATTATTTTTGTAGTAAGACACATGTCCACAACTCCATATGTGAGGCAATGCATTAGTTTAAAAAATAATAGCTGAGTACAGTATGATCTTTATTGTGGTTGTTTATAATTTCAGTCAGATCACATCACCCTAGAGGAAGCCTAATTTCCCCTGACCTCATTCCAACTGTGCCTGAACATCTGGGCTCCAAGGAAGATGTCCCCAGTACACCAACTGACTGAAGTCTTGGTCTAAGTTCTATATGTACCTTAAGATTTGAAGATTCTGAAACATGATTACAGATGGATATGAACATTCTGACTCTGACTCTGGTGTTGAAAGCCTTGGAAAAAGGGTGTGGGGGAAGCCACAGAAATTTTAATTAGCATTATAGGCAGATGTCATGTAACAGTGGAGGAAAGACTGGTTGTAGTAGGGCCCCCACCCTCCTAATGAGAAAAGTGAACCTCTAGCTCCTTTATTCAGAGTTGTCTAGCATGGGGCAGGTTAGTGATGGATAAAGGCTCAGGGCCTGGAGGCAGACAGATGTGCATTTTGATTCTCTGGGCTGCAAGTGGTCAGATGTATGAAATACAGATTTTGATCCTAAGGGTAAAGAATGGGCACTGGAATTGTCTAGCTTCAAATGGTGGCTCTGCTATTAATTTTTCTATACACCCATGGAAAAGTATTTAATTTCTTTGTCTCAGCTTTCTCATGTATAAAACAGGTATAATATTGTACTTAATTGATTTGAAGACATATTTCCCCCCTCACACTACTCTATATCTGTCTTACAATTGCCATTGGCCAGACAGACATTCTTAGCACTTACTACTCTAATCTAAAAGAACTCTCTCAATAAAGATAAAATAATACTTCTAAGTAACAAGGAAACACTGTTTCATGTTTCATTGGCATGTTTTCTTTCTTAGTGGTACATAAAATAGTGATGTATCTTATAATTGATATCATCTTAGATTCAATGACATATGGTAATAGTACCTGCCTCATTACATCATTATAAACATGAGAAGGGATAATTCAAAGAAACAAGTTACCATACTGCTTGGCAGAGAAAGAAAATTCAATAATGTTAATTATAAACTAGCTACTGTATAAAGTCAGTAGCTACCTGGAGGGAAGCAGAGTTCTGATGGCTATCCCTAGCAAGAAAAGGTCTTGGGAAATCATAAACTTTACTTAATTATACCTCCAAAAGGCTCTTCCCTGTCCTGAAGCAACAATGGTCAGAGCAGAGTTCTATTATAGATGAAGAAAAGAGAACAAACACAAAACTCAAATATACTGCTAATGGTCAAGAAAGAGCCCTCAGAGGAGACAGAAACCCCAGTGTATCATTTCAGAGCCTGTGAAGGGCTCCACATCCCACTTAACCTTCAACCTTCAGTGATGTTTGTAGCCACTACCAATGTTCTATTCAATCCACTTTATCCTTTCCCTTAGAAGCTGGTCCCTAAGCAATTGGCTTTCCCAAGCTCAGAGTGACGGTATTGATTGCAGGCCCTGCTAATCTAGTCCCTGACCCAACCTTCAAAGGGATAGGGAGAATAGAAATGGCCTCATTTACTATCTAGTTAAGTACCAAGATCAGCCAGAACAATATGCAGAACCTTGCTGGCATGCCTGGAACATAGGATTGATCTCTTAGTTTCAATTATTGCCCAAACTGCCTTGGGAACATGGTCTGTGAACACTAGTTGTTCTCCCTAGGGCTTGCCTTTGGAGTTGCTTTAGTTTTCTCAATTTTGTACCTGCCTAGAGAGATTTCTATTTAATATTGGCTCTTTTCTTCTTGCCATAGGTCCTGTGGATATTGAGGTATCAAATGACTCAAATTATAGTGCCAATAATGTTTGCCACATTAAAAATGAGAATACTGAGAAAATATATGATTGTGTTCTTATGTAGTGTAGCGGATGACCTATCATTGAGGTATCTAAATTTTTGCTCCTAAACTAATTAGCTCTTACTATCTAGGCTTAATTAGGTCTAGCTTTTTAACTGTGTTACTTTTAAAAAGTTTTCCTCTTAATCTTTGTGCTAACACTGGACAGCCTCATCCAATCTCTAAGCCTCAACTACTCTGTATTCTGATGATTCACTGAACTACAGTCCTAATCCTAGATAAGACTATTTATAACCTATATGATATATCTTTGGTGGGTTGTGTACTTGGATTATCCCTGGCACTGGAAATGTTGCTGAAACACTGTGAAGGAAGAAGGAGATGGATGTGTTCTTGGTCTGTTCCACTGTTATGCAGCCAGGCTTTGAAGAAAAATTCCATGCTGATAACATCGTTGTCTATAATCTGAAGTTCAATGTCAGTTCCCAGGATAGAACTCTCTGTAGAAGACAGGGAAATAAATAGTGGTTAAAGTGTTAATTTTTAAATTATAAAATCTGAAAATATAAAATTCAAATGTACCTATCTTTTGACCCATTCATTGCATTTCTAGATATCTAGCCTAAAGAATTCTTAGACAGTACACAAAGAGATATATGCGAAGATGTTCAGGGTATCATTGTAGTCATAACAAATAATCAAAACCCCAAACAGGAGGCAATTCCAGTGTCCTTCAATAAGGGAAAGCTTAAATAAATCATGGTACACTTAAACTATGGAATATTATGCAGCTGTTAACAATGTAAAACTAAATGTACTGACATGGAAAGCTAGTAAATAAATAAAATGAATAAATGAAGTTTTTGTATAACAGATATGATTCAATTTGTACAAACATAAAACCATCTGCCTAAGTACATACATATGTATGTACTTGTAAAGTGCACTTTTCAAAGATCTAGAAGGCTATCATCAAATTGTTAACAGTAGATAGGGAGGGGAAGTGGGGCAGGGCTCTGAGATATGTTCCCTTTTTACTATTCATACTTCTACATTTGTTAATTTTATTGTAGTTGTGAATTTCTTGTGTCTAACAATATTTTAGAATATAAAAAGGAGAGAAATTATACAGAAATGTAAGTTAAATAGTTACTAAGGGGGATTTTGACTTTATGCTATTATTTTATAGTGAAAATATAATTATTACTTCTGTCATAAGAACAAATTTTAATGGGAAAGGCAGCGGAGCACAACAGACACTAGTATGGCAATATGTAAATCAATGGATGTGTAACTGATGTGATTCTGCAATCTGTGTATGGGGTGAAGGTGGGAGTTCATAACCCACTTGAATCAAAGTGTGGAATATGATATGTCAAGAAATTTGTAATGTTTTGAACAACCAACAATAAAAAATTAAAAAAAAATAGGAAAAAAAGAACAAATTTTAAAAAATTAAAAAAAGAGAAAAATATGAACCACTGGGCTGTGGCAAAAAGGGATTGGCCTGGTGGAGTGTGATTTAATTCCAAATTTGAACGAGTGATGCTGGGTAGTGGGGTAATGAGGTTTTGTGGTGTACTTCTAGCTTCAGGCAACACTATCTCTGGCGTTGGTGTCTGGGTTTGCAGGTAAAGAATGTTAGTGAAATCCAAATATAAGGTGATGGAGGAAACATAGACAGAGGAAATGAGGCAAGAACTGGAAGAAACTGAAGGGGATCCTGACCTCCTTGACTTCATCATGAGGGACTCTCTGAAATACTTTTATAAAAGGCCTAAGAAAAACCAGTTTCTCTAATGAAATAACTTCTGTGTAAGCTGGAATCCAAGGGAGAAGGCTGATTTATTTCTAGAACGACATTCCTGAGGATAAGTAGGTAGTGGTGACAGACTCCACAGGGAACAAAGGGACTTTAGTCCAACATGTTGGATTCAACACAGGAGAGGAGTGGAAAGAGTTAGATGACTTCATATATTTAATGCCTTATCCTGTGGCTCAAGGCGGGTACCAAATGCATTTTTCTGTGACCAGAGAGGATTAAAACTAACTTTTCCATGGATAATTATGGGGATTCATCAGTTAACTAATTATTTCATTCATTTCATCAGACATAAATGACATTCTTTGCCCTTAGGAATTTATAAAGCAACATTATTATTGACCATTTCTCCCCAAAGTCTCATCTGTCCCATTATTATGTTTTAGGTTAGTATAATGATAAATATAAAGACACTGCCAAACATTCCTTGTAAATAAAGAGAAGCATCCTTAAAAAAATAATGTGAATATTATTTTGTCACTGGCAAAACAAAAAGTAATTCAATTTTTCCAAGGTTGTTGCCTGGACTTTGACTTAGGCAACAAGGATGGAAATGACTTAGTGGCTTCTCTTCAGTGAGGTAGTTACTAAAGCACACAGGGCAGTTATAGAACTAAAGAAATGGAATTAAGCAAAGGAGCTCTGGAAGTAGAGAGGATAAAATTACTTAGAGTTCAAATGATAAAATTTTGGAGAAGAGAAAATAAGTGTAAAGGGTAGAAGATTAGAAACTCCTACTATAGGTGATATAGTGGGGAAAATACAGTTGTAAGTTATTAAGAATCTGGAAATAAGAAAAATAGGGGTTTCCTCAGATAGTTAAACTATAAAATTGACACAGAATGGTCAGGTCAATGAAAACCAGTTCCCTTAAGAAGGGAGGATGTCTAATTGACCTGAGCAAGACTTGGAATAGCCTTATTGATGGTATTGGCATATCTAGAGGATGAATGTGTCTACTAGAAGGGGAAAGATCTGGTCAGAAATGAGCACAGAGAATTGCTTTTGCTATTCTGGGTCTTTTATTTTTCCAGATGAATTTCATGATTGCTTTCTCTATTTCTACAAGAAATGCCTTTGGGATTTTGATTGGCATTGCATTAAACCTATAGAGAACTTTTGGTAATATCGCCATTTTGATGATATTAGTTCTGCCTATCCATAAACAGGGTATATTTTTCCATCTTCTAAGATCTTCTTCTATTTCTTTCTTTAGGGTTCTGTAGTTTTCATTGTATAAATCTTTCACCTCTTTTGTTAGGTTGATTCCCAAGTATTTTATTTTGAGGATATTGTGAATGGGGTGGTTGTCCTCATTTCCATTTCAGAAGATTTGTCGCTGATGTACAGGAATGCCTTTGATTTATGCGTGTTGATTTTATATCCTGCACTTTGCTGAATTCATTTATTAGCTCTAGTAGTTTCTTTGTAGAACCTTTTGGGTCTTCTAGGTATAGGATCATGTCATCCGCAAATAGTGATAATTTAAGTTCTTCTTTTCCTATCTTTATGCCTTTAATTTCTTTCATCTAATTGCTCTGAAACAGGCAGTATAGCGATACCAGACTTCAAACTATACTACAGAGCAATAGTAACAAAAACAGCATGGTACTGGTACCAAAACAGGCGGGTGGACCAATGGTACAGAATAGAGGACACAGAGACCAATCCACAAAATTACAACTATCTTATATTTGACAAAGGTGCTAAAAGCATGCAATGGAGAAAGGATAGCATCTTCAACAAATGGTGCTGGGAAAACTGGAAATCCATATGCAACAAAATGAATCTGAATCCCTTTCTCTCACCATGCACAAAAGTTAACTCAAAATGGATCAAGGAGCTTGATATCAAAACAGAGACTCTGCGTCTGATAGAAGAAAAAGTTGGCTCTAATCTACATATTGTGGGGTTGGGCTCCAAATTCCTTAATAGGACACCCATAGCATAAGAGTTAAAAACAAGAATAAACAAATGGGACTTACTCAAACTAAAAAGTTTTTTCTTAGCAAGAGAAACAATAAGAGAGGTAAATAGGGAGCCTATATCCTGGGAACAAATTTTTACTCCTCACACTTCAGATAGAGCCCTAATATCCAGAGTATACAAAGAACTCAAAAAATTAAACAATAAGGAAACAAATAACCCAATCAACAAATGGGCCAAGGACCTGAACAGACACTTCTCAGAGGAGGACATACAATCAATCAACAAGTACACGAAAAAATGCTCACCATCTCTAGCAGTCAGAGAAATGCAAATTAAAACCACCCTAAGATACTATCTCACTCCAGTAAGAATGGCAGCCATTATGAAGTCAAACAACAACAAGTGCTGGCGAGGATGTGGAGAAAAGGGTATACTTGTACATTGCTGGTGGGACTGCAAATTGGTGCGGCCAATTTGGAAAGCAGTATGGAGATTTCTTGGAAAGCTGGGAATAGAACCACCATTTGACCCAGCTATTCCCCTTCTTGGACTATTCCCCAAAGACCTTAAAAGAGCATATTATAGGGATACAGCTATATAGATGTTCATAGCAGCACAATTCACAATAGCTAGACTGTGGAACCAACCTAGATGCCCTTCAATAGATGAATGGATAAAAAAAAATGTGGCATTTATACACAATGGAGTATTACTCAGCACTAAAAAATGACAAAATCATGGCATTTGCAGGGAAATGGATGGCACTAGAGCAGACTATGCTAAGTGAAGCTAGCCAATCCCTAAAAAACAAATGCCAAATGTCTTCTTTGATATAAGGAGGGCAACTAAGAACAGAGCAGGGAGGAAGAGCATGAGAAGAAGATTACCATTAAACAGGGACGAGAGGTGGGAGGGAAAGGGAGAGAGAAGGGAAATTGCATGGAAATGGAAGGAGACCCTCACTGTTATACAAAATTACATAAAAGAGGAAGTGAGGGGAAAGGAAAAAAAAACAAGAGAGAGAAATGAATTACAGTAGATGGGGTAGAGAGAGAAGACGGGAGGGGAGGGGAGGAGAGGGGGGATAGTAGAGGATAGGAAAGGCAGCAGAATACAACATACACTAGTATGGCAGTATGTAAAAACGTGGATGTGTAACCGATATGATTCTGCAATCTGTATATGGGGTAAAAATGGGAGTTCATAATCCACTTGAATCAAATGTATGAAATATGATATGTCAAGAGCTTTAAAATGTTTTGAAGAACTAATAATAATAATAAAAAATAAAGAAATGAGCACAGAGAAGAGGAGCAGCAGGCCCCTTCAAGTGTGGCTCAGAGAAGATCTACAGGCTCAGGAATGTGTCCCAATGGCAGGGATTGTGTGTTACCTCTGCTCTTCTTGGTGATTATTGAGGTCATGGTTCTTTTCTCCAAAATATCCTGACTTGGGCCAGAATATTAGTCTTGAGCTTGGGAAGGAGAGTACATCTCTGAGAGGGTGCTGACAAAGTCAACTTTATAAAGAACCCGTGCAGAATACAGCCCCTGAATGAAGGGAAATGTTGTATTTCTCAGATGAGCCAGGCAATTAGACACCCACCAAAATTCCTGAGGTTCTTTCTAACTTCTTAGCCTATGCATTATTGGAAGACTCACAGAGTAGAGAGTCTTCCTTTGGAAAAATTCTCACATAATTTCTATAGAAGTGCTGGACTTCAGGGTTTGCAGTCTCAGAAGGGAGTAAGTATTTTTCTGGGACAGGCTCACATTATCCATACTAATTTGCACTAAAGACTAATGTGTGAACCAGGACACTTTAGAGGGAGAATTTCTTTTCCATTTTCTTTGTCACTGGTCAGGCTCAATTTTCTTGTACCTAGGTTACAGCAGTAGATCCTGAGCTGTCTTAGCAAATTCCCTCTTTTCCTCTCTAATACTTAGATATGATTTCTGGCCCAGTTTCTCTGAAACATGCTTTCTCAGAACTCTCCTTTTCTATAGAGCACATATTCATTATTGCGGTCACTTACTCATCCTGGACCATCTGGTACAACTCCTTATTCCTCAATTACCCTTCCCTTCATTTGTGATGGCCTAGGCTAT